TGAAGCAGTTGTATTTGCTATTGCACTCGATAACATTACATATTTTCGGTTTTAAAAGTATGTTTATAAGTACATCTCATGTATATGATCTGCTGGTAGTGCCGAAAAACTATTTATTAAACGAAAACTATGTAATTTAATGTATTGATATGACAAATACAACTTTGCTTCACCGAAGATCTCACCACAGAATGTGATATGGAAAAATTCTTGGCTTTCGTTGATATTCACATCTGCTATGTGACCCAACGGCACTCGTGGCAATGAGGCGGAGTGGTTAACGTCTCGAGATTACTCGCTGCACTGTCATGCTGGGAGTTTTAATAAGACCTAGACGGGGTCGAAACTGCCGTCCACCTTTGCCTGAATGAGAATACCTTTTGTAAGGTCTACTTGTATCATTGTGTGAAATTCAACTGCCAGTCATCTGATCACCTTAAATGAAATATGGTGAATACATCTTATGTATACGATCTACTGACGGTCTTGAAAACCTGTTTTTAAAAGAAAAATGCCTGGTTTATCCTGCATGTCGCCAGGATATTCACGATCAGATACGGAAACTCTCTGGGCGAGGTCGAAACTTCAGTCCAGCCTCTATGAGACAGCCTTTTGGAAAGCATCTAATTGTGAGAAAATTCAGCAAAAAGGGTATATTAACATCGAACATGACTCACGCCTTCCGGTGATACAGGATTCAGGTAGTCTCTGATGCTCGTTCCTCTGTCTGCCATGTTGGCTGGGCCTCGGGTAGGGTGATTCGTACAGGCGGTGGGCTCGGATGAAGTCGCCTTCTGAGTAGGCGGTGAGGAATGAGAAGCCATTTTACAATTAACACTCGGGCTTGCCTTAAGCTCATTTGGGTCGCAATTTTTAGTCACAGCAACAGAATTGACAGGGGCTGTCATCCAGAGGCCTGACGATGAGATGGAGCTGGCGATGATATTGGTCGAGGTGAGTGTGGTCGTGGTCGTGGTCGTGACTGTGGTTGTGGTATTGCCGATTGCAGTTGTAGGAGATAAGGGTGACCTTCTGTCGGGAGTCCTAAGCTGGAATCCAGGCAACAAGGGAGTAGATGTGGTAAGGGGCAGAGTGTTTGGTCCACTCCCGGCTGGGGTATGCCTGACATGATTGCCTCCTCTAGGGCAGACTGACCTGCCTGTAGACGGCGATGATCCAGAGGTCTCGGTGGTCAGGTGAAAATTGGTGATGTCAGCGAGTCCCGGATCAGGAGTCAACCGGGGGGTGGGAGGACTTGGCGAAGGCCTTATAGAAAGGTCTGCAGCTCGTGGATGACTCCCGGAGAAGCTGGAGGAGAGACGTGAGCCAAGGAAGTTGCGTTTCCGCGACACTCTGAAAGGTTCGACTAGACCAAACATTTTGTCATCCCGTGGTCCTATCAAAGCTTTCGTGTCGGGATGTACCAGCTTCGAGCCGGCCGTCATGTGAATAGGCTGAGGAACCCGAGAAGAGGTGGAAGAAGTTGATGTGGAAGTGGAGGCCGATGAAGAGGAGGAAGATAAGGTAGAGGAAGAAGAGGAAGAAGAAGAGGAAGAGGAAGAAGAAGAAGAAGAAGAAGACAGATATGCTGTAGATAGGAATGAGTTTTCGAGGCCATCACAGTCCATCCTCGAGACGGTGTCAAGTGTGAATGGTGAATGCTTTTCCCAAGCAAGTTCGAGGCAAGTCTCTACTCCCACCTCATGTCTTGTTCTGCTTTTATCCCGTCTGGTAGAATAGCAGGAGAGAAAGTGATGCTGCATTGAGGCACTGGAACAACGACAGTCGACCCGGGACAGGGTTGGCGGACTGGTGGGCTGGCGTAGAGCAGCAGGTGTGTACCAAGGTGGGGTGTACATGAGGCTGAGCAATCGAGGCCTGGCAATCTCGAGACGAAGACGCAGGCAGAGGCAGCCCAGCAGAGACTAGGGTATGTGCGTCAGGAGGCTGGCGGAGGGAACATTGGACGTACATGTGCCCTTTTAGTGGTAGCTGTGGCAACCTTGACGACTGATTGGACGGCTGTACGAGACACGAGGTTAGGCCCGGGGCGTTACTGTTGGCCAATACATTAGGGATAAACCGCTCTGTCTGGCCATTGGTTGTCAGTGTACGGTTTATTTGAGGCCGGCGGCCGTTCCTTTTGGCTTGGCCCAACACCAACTCGCCATACATGTCAGTGCTCCAAACTGCTGGCGCCTTCTCGGCTAACTGGGGGAGTTGAAATATCGCCACGTAAGAAGGTGAATCTTCTGATTTAGCAATGTTGTACTTTGGGGTAAGTGGTTGTTGGTTGCTGATTTCTGCTTTCTCGTTGACCCCACGACAAGACGACAAGAGGCTTCACCTTGCCTACTTTTGCCTGATTTCCCTGAGACCGTAATGCTGCCACAAACCCCTTCGTTCCTGCTGAAAGTATGCTGCATTTTCGTGTGTCATACAAATTGACGGACCACATCAGAGCTGAACCACATTCTAATAACTGTTGTGATTATACGTGCACCAAGATGCACACACACACACACAGATATATATATATATACGCACACAAAAGTACATTCAAAAGAATTGACACACAAACCAACAAACGATTGCTCGTAAGTAACTTAGCCTATGCTATGGCAAATACAACTTATGCGAAGAAAAGTTGGGTTTCAAGGAATCTCTTGTTTCATAATTGTTGACCTTACTTCCATTTCGAGTGGGATGAATAACTTTTGATGAAATTCAATGCTATAATATCCTGGTGTGAGTATTCAACTATCAGCCATTTATCACCTTATGCCTTTATTCACGATCCACTCACCTTCACTTCCACTTCTTCTCATTTCATTGTGATAAGGTTGACAGAAGTGATTTGTGAAATGTGTTTACCCTATTTCGCTCAAGGCGATGAAGGACTAGTAGTTGAATTTTTCCACAACGATATGGGCCGAGCTTATGTTTCTATAGAATTTCTTATAGCTTTGCCTCTCGAAAGGTATTCTCATCCAGACATGAGTAGACTGCAGTTTCGACCTCACCTAGGTCTTATCAGCCCTCCCAGCGGGACTCGAACCATGATCGTGCAGTGTGACGTTAACCATCACGCCACATTTCCACGATTGCCTTTGGGTGACAGGGTACGTCTGAATTTCAAGGTAGGTCAGGCATTTTCCCATATCACATTCTGTGGTGAGATTGTCGATGAAGCTATGTTGTATTTGTTGAGCTTACTTCCATTTCGTGTGAATTTGTTGGGTGAAGAGATTCAAAGGTCGGTTCCACCAGAAGACGACGGCGGATTCCTCTTGACCTGCTGTCGATTGGCTTTACTGGAAGATTCTGCTCTGTACTCAGCAAGCTCCGATTTTTGAAACGAACAGCCTTTGCAGACGCTTTTGTTGAATGGGACGACAAGTCTCCCCAACATAAAAGCGACCACATGAACACATTATTTTGTAGCTACTTGATCTGGATAATGGGTCAACTTTCTCTCTAAAAGTGGACATGACTGAAGAAAGTGTCGTAGTTTTCCTGAA